CCTAACAAAAGAAATCAAAGACCTCTTCTCTGAAAACTATAGCACTCTGAAAAGAGAGATGGAAGATGATACCAGAAAATGGAAAGTCATACCTTGCTCCTGGGTAGGAAGGATCAGTATAGTGGAAATGGCTAGTCTACAGCCATACCACCCTGAACGTGCCCGATCTCGTCTGATCTCAGAAGCTAAGCAGGGTCGGGCCTGGTTAGTACTTGGATGGGAAAATGGCCATACTTACAAAACTGCTATATAGATTCAGTGCAATCCCAATTGAAATCCCAGCAGCATACTTCATGGACCTTGAGAAAACAATCCAAAAATGCATTTGGAACAAGAGGAGACCCAGAATAGCAAAAGCAATTCTAGGTAACAGACATGGCATTAGGTATCACAACCCCCAATTTGAAACTATACTACAAAGTCACTGTGATAACAACATGGTACTGGCCTAGAAATAGACCTGAGGACCAGTGGAACAGATTCGAAGATGCAGAAACAACTCCAGACACACTCAGCCATCTCACCTTCAACAAAGGAGCCAAACACCCTCACTGGAGGAAAGATAGCCTCTTTAATAAATGGTGATGGAAAAATTGGGTTTCAACTTGCCAAAGACTGAAACTAGACCTGTATCTCTCACCATGCACTCAACAAAAATCGAAATGGATTAAAGATCTAAATATTAAAATAGAAACGCTGAACTGGGTGGAACAGAGCTTGTACCACTTGAAGGAGGATGACCACCCAAGATATCCCCTGGACAGATTAGTAGCATGCCTTATCTCAAAATTTAAAAAACGGGCTGAGGATCTGACTCAGTGTGAAGGCCCTGGGTTCAGTTCCCTGTGCCAGAAATATAAAAAGGGCTGGGGATTTAGCTCAGTGTTTCCAGCGCCTGCATCACAAGCGTAAGGTCCCGAGTTCGATCCCCAGTACTAAAAAAAAAAAGATGCATCCAGTTTTCTACAAATGACTCACATTTGGGGGTATAGCTCAGTGGTAGAGCATTTGACTGCAGAAATATAAAAAAGACTAATTCTAATAAGTGGAACATGATAAATGATTTATTTGAAACACAATAGAATGTTACCATGGACTGTCATAAAGTTAAAATTTTCATAATGGACTCTATTAGGAAAATAAAGACAATGTTGCCACCAAAAAAGGGAAAAAAAAATCCTCTTAATTCAAATTACCAAAATAAACGGAATATTTTGCAAGTACAAATTAAGTGTAGAGTACATTCTGCTTCTACCATTGGACCAGGAGCTCACAGCTAAAATCTTCCCTAGATTCATCCACAAGTTAGGCTCAGGGCCCTACTTCTAACCACCTCCTGACTTCTAATGTTGAAATAAAATGTTTCTAATATTTAAATAAAATGTTAGTAAATAAGACTACAGTCTCTCTATTCCTCCCATCAAAAGCACCAGATCTCCATAGCTGCTCCCCACCCAAATCAAACTTGGGCTTGGAAATTCTATGAAACAGATCCTGACCTCAACACTGACACCAGCAAATGCAGAATTCTTCCACTTTCCTATTTTTTAAATGTATAATTTGATAACTTTGGGTCTCTTTATTGATTTCTCTGGGATGACTACAAACACTTTTGTTTCTTCCTTAATCTCAGAAGTTCTTAATTTTACAATAATTTGTCAATTCCTCATATATTTTTTAAGAAATCTTTTTAGACAGCCTGTTGGAGCATGCTTATAATCCCAGTTATTCTGCAGGCTGAGTCAGGATTCCAAGTTCCAGTCCAGACTGGGAGGGAAACTTAGACCCTCACTCAACACATAAAAAGGTCTGGAGAATTTAACTCAGTGCCCCTGATTTCTATTGTTGTTTTTTTTAAAAAAAAAAAATCAAATACGGTTTCTACAGAGTGTATCATTTTTGGTCCAAAATCAAGGGCTATCAATAGACTTTTCTGCGTGTTTAAAACATTGATACCTATGTCAACACAGTGAAGATTGACTCTGCACCTTGTGGGGCTTGGGGCAGCTCAGGGTTGCCTGGTTCAGAGGCAAGTAAGTCTTTGCCTACTGGATTCTCCAGTATCAATCAATAATGACTGGTGTTTAAAAGCAGCCTTGGAAAGGTGGGCATGGGGGTGCACAACTGTAACCCCAGCACTTGGGAAGCTAAGGCAGGAGAATCACTGAGTTCAAGACCAGCCTGAAATACAGTGAGACCCTGTCTTCAAAACCAAAACGAAAACCAAACCAGCCTTGCTTATTTTGGGGAGAGGGAAAAGGGATTAAAAAAAAGAATTGAAAGGGTAAAAAATGATGGAAATAACTTTTGCAAATGGGAAGGGGACCAAGAGTTGAAAGGCCCAGGGAGAGATGGGAAGGATAGGAGATAGTGGATGAAAAAAAATTAAGATGTATTATGTATATGTACCAACTCCCTGCAATAATTAAAATCTTTACGTTCTGCAAATATGTAATAAGAAAAAATGAAAAAAAAAAAGCCCTGCTCTGAGTCCATGGACATGCTGAATGCTCAGTGGAACTAGGATTTCTCAGTTTAGCTGCAAAATCATAGTCCAGCTCAGTAGGGAGCTATCTTTTGGCATAACTCTTCTGTTGGGCATGCATAGCACGCAGCCTGATTATCTTCAAAACAGCCAAGCAGGCTTGGGGTGTATCTCTGTTCTAGAGGTTTGGGTAAGATTCTTGCACCAGGCCCAGGTTGACCCCCAGCACAAACAGAAAAAAGGTAAAAGGATTTTGTTGTCTCAGAAACCTCCTGTAAAGCACCAATAGGTACATGCTAGGAGAACAGATGTGAAGTCCTGAAGTTTCTCACTCTAGATGCTGAAAGGGAAATGTGCAAATCAGTTCAGTGGGCCTCCAAAGATGGTTAATGCCCATGAGCACCTTCATACCAAGCCACTAAACACAAGGTTTCTCCATCTGACCAGCAGAGGGCGCACTCGTACAGTGGCTCCTTTAGCCGACTTTTGCATTCCCTTTGCCACTAAAGGCTTTGGTGGTGGTGGGCTTTGCCTGAACCCTCTTGGGAAAAGTTCTACCCTTCTACTTCAGGTGGGCACCCAAGAGCTAGGTAAGCCTGAGCTGGGTAAGCCCGATACAGGGACAGCTGCAAACACTCCACCTTCACATTTTCAGAACTTGCAAACACCTCTCCCTATGATATTCACCTGGAATGAACTTCTATGAAACTACTGCATATTACTGTCTGTAATAAAGTACTGCACTGAGATGAAATAAAAGTATGTGAACAGAAGAAACACATTTCATAGTAAAAGTAAATTTTATTAAAACATTAGACCAATAATATATTCTGAATAAAGCAACAGCAAGCTGTAGCACCAGCAGTTAAATGTAATGATCAAGAAAATGCTTTTAAAATTATTTATCTTTGTGGTACTGAGGATTGAGCCCAGGGCCTTGTGCATGCTGGACAAGTGCTCAACCACTGAGCTACACTCTACCCAGACTCTATTCTGGTTCTTTCAATTACATTCTACAGTATAATAATTGATCTTTCTTCAATTTCAAGTGACTTCATTAATGATTTGCTCTGACCTTTACTATCACTCAACATAGAAAGTGGTCATCATTTCTCTTGCATTTTCTTCCACAGTCAGTCCCTATAGCCTATCACTCTTAGCCCCTAAACCCCTCAGTGTCCAATTTCCTGGCTTGCTATACTGCACAATTGACAGAATGTTTATGCCTTCAACCATGGTGCTTTTTTTTGGTACTGGGGATAGAACTTGGGACCTTGCACTTGTGAGGCAAGCAGTGGAACCACTAAGCTAAATCCCCGGCCCCTATGGTGCTCTTTTAAGGGCACAATGTACACAAATAAACGTGATGATTTGTCATAGTTTTACCTTATTCTCTGGTGCTCCTCTAAATTAACAATATTTAATTTCAAAAGGCAGACTCCTCAAGTATTACACAGAAATGACCCTAATGAAGGTAAGCCCCTTTATCCTATTGGTTTTTTCTCAAAGACCACACCAAAGAGCCTGTAAGGCAGAATATTAAGAAATTTTAAAGTTCAGGTTCAAAGTCATAAATAGCAAAGCAAACTCAAGAAACCTCAAGTGAATAAAATACTTTATAACCTGAAGATAAGTATTTCTGAACGTCCTTGTACCTTTCATGTATTTCAGGTCATGAGTTTTCACATATTTTTATTTGGAAATATTCTGCAGAATGTAATATAGTAGTAGAGAGCTAGAGCCTGAGTTGTTCTTGGCATAAATCCTCACCTACAGTTATGATCATTCGGTAACAGCCTTACTACATAAGTGCCTTCCATTTGTATGGTTTCATCAAAAATGTGTATTTTGATGACTAGTGTGAGGCTTGGATTAAAGCCTCTGCTGTTTACAAGATTTCTTTTTAGCATGGACTCTGACATCTACTAATGTTTTAATTATTGATGAATGGCTCAACAGTCATTGCATTTATAAAGATTCTCTTAAAAATGAAGTCTGTGTTATTATGCAAGAAGTTGTGACTAAAGACCTTGCTACATTCACGTGTAAGGTTTCTGCCCAGCATGAATTCTCCGGTGACTTACAAGGTTAGAACTTCGACTAAAGACCTTGCCACAGTCTTTACACGTGTAAGGTTTTTCTCCAGTATGAATTGCCTGGTGGGTGGTCAGGCTTGAACGCACACTAAAGGCCTTGCCACACTTATCACACTTGTATGGTTTCTCTCCTGTATGAGTCCTCCGGTGACTCGCAAGGTGTGAGTTTTGGGTGAAGACCTTGCCACACTCATCACATTTGTAGGGTTTCTCTCCAGTATGGATTGCCTGATGGGTGGTCAGGCTTGAATACACACTAAAGGCTTTGCCACACTCATGACACTTGTAAGGTTTCTCTCCAGTGTGGATTCT